AGACTTTTTCCCTTACCTCCAGAATCTACGATACAAACATTATGAAAATGAACAGATGGGCACTAATGTCCGTTCAGCACCAGGGTTCTTGTTAAGATCAAAGCGAAATCTATATTCTACTCCTAGAATAAGAATAAGTCATGATAGTAATGGCACTTTATGTACACCGTAATTTTTAGGGAGTTATTATAACTCCAAAAATGGAGTAAAAATTTTACGCACAGGATAACCCCTTTTTGGGGGTTATTTTAACTCCTAATTTAACTGCGAATTTGGGGTCATTTTTACTCCTGAAAAAGAGTTCTTTTTATTCCCAGTCTGGAGTTAAAATAACTCCAAAATGGGGTTACTTTTACTCCTTACATGGGTTGTTTTTACTCCTTTTGGAGTTAATTTAACTCTGAAAGTGGAGTAAAAATTTTAGGTACGGGATAACTCCTTTTTGGGGGTTATTTTAACTCGTCAATATCTGGGGTCACTTTTACTCCTGAAAAAGAGTTTTTTAAACTCCTTTTTGGAGTTAAAATAACTCCCACAAAAATAAATCCACGGTAAGTTCCCATCGAACCCTTCGACTTCAGTGAGTGCGTCACAGGCTTCTAAGAATTCTTCTATGGAACTTGAATGATGAATCTCCTCCTCTTCTTCACTTGACCAGCGGATGAGGTTGGGCTGAAACACCCTGTGCTCTGGTGTTTTTACAATGCCCATGAGTAGTGATAGTGCAATGAATTTCTTTATTTCGTCTCTTGTGGTTTCAACCCAAAGGTTTGCACGAGCATTTGCAGACAAATTTGGATTGTTTCTTCTGAACTGTGTAGCATACAGGTTGGTCTGTGTGACCAGCATATCAAAAAAGTCATTTGTCAAGAAGAGGCTCAAAAAGTCACCTGCTGTTGCCTCATTTGGCAGCTGGACTTGTATCCCTGTATTAGCAGTAAACAGTGGAATGGTTGTCCTGGGACAGAAGAGATTGGCGGCAGGAAAGGGCGGCCGTGATGTCTGCAAGTATGGCGGATTGATGAGGTGACAGCGGGTACAGCGATTGTAAAGAGAGAGAGGAGAGGTCTCCGACTTGATTAGTGAGAACACGAATGCGCCAAAGGTGGAGGATGTGTTGAAGTGACTGAACGTAAGATACGATTGTATTTATGAAGTAAGCTTTATGGCCCGCGTGTTCAAACTCAGTAGTGATGGTGTCGGCGGTGTCCCAATATTGAGGGGTTAAGGCAACCGACTGAGCAAAATGCTTGATGGTATCAGGCATCGTATCTTCCTCAGTATGTCTCAATGCGTTGACTTCGCGATGGGGGAAATTCATCGTCAAATGCTGATAGAAGAATATGGGGTTGAATATGGACACGTACTTAACGCCCACTAGGACCCGGTCATCTGCGTATGGTTTGGGCTTGGACCCAGATGTCTGGTGGCACCTTAACCACTGTAACAGAGTCTGGTTGTCTTCAGTCTGGGGACGCCCGAGGTACATTTTGTACACCTTGTTCCCCTCTGTCTGATCCGGAAATGGTGGCCTGAACAACACTGTGAACTTGTCCGTCCAGCAGACCTTGATGTTCAACAGCTGAAATACCATCTCCGGTTCGAGGGGTGTTACGGTGCGGAGGAATGAATGGGCGGCCTGGTAGCCAGTGACATCTGTGCAGTACAGACCCTCAGACGTGGCGCTCTCATGCATTTTTGTCACGTAACTGCTAACGTATTTTAGTAGAAGAGCCTTTCCATCTGCCAGTTGAACATCTGTTCTGCAGTGGAGGGATCCCAGCAACGTGGTCACATACGCCCTGATATGGCGTTCTGCGTCGTCTTCAGTGTGCTGGAATTGGAGGGTGTGTCGTCCATTACGCTGAGTGATGAAAGAGTCTGGATACTCACGTACAGGTAGGCACGACTTGTCGGATTTCTGGATTGATGCTACGGTAAAGGCGTCTTCGGCGTTGGCCCAGGGCACTGAAGCATGGAGAAGATCTGCTCTGGTTGCTGAGATGTCCTTGACCCAGACCAGCATGTGAAGATGGAGAGTGCCGTGTTTCTGGAACTCAAAACGGTAAAAAAAGGTCTCCAAGTTCTTCGAAGTTGGGTGTGGAAGGTTGGTGAAGACATTGGTTCGCCATCTATTGCAATTCCCTCCAGTCAAGTAACCCCGGGCGATTTGTTCCAGAACGTGGGCGATATGAATGGTTTCAAGCGTCGGGATATCGGTGACGTCCTTGAAGTACCGGCATCTGATTTCCTCCAGGAAGGGCGGAAAAGGAAATGTCCGTTCATAGAGACTGATGGTGATAAAGAAGGAAGGGTAACCATACTGGCGGACTGCATCTATCAGATAAAGGTTCTGGTGCTGCCAGAAGGTCTTGGAAAATGACTTATTTTCTAAGCTTCGATTGGGGGAGTATCCGGACGCCTTGGAGGCATTGACTGCACCAGTGATCGTCTTGAATAACCACCGATCGTACTGGTACTGTAGAATCTCAAAATTTAGGGCGAAGTCGTGCACTTGTGACAACAGCTTGTGCATGAATGCGATCTTGCCACTGGCGCGATTGTCCTGTCCTTCTAGTATACTCTCACATAGTGAAGTCTTGTGGTACAGGGCAGGCCAGAGAGCGCACTCTACACTGCGGTAAAGTGGCGAAGAAAAGATTTCGTATAAGAATGGTGGGCGTTCGCCTCTGAAATGCATTAGTATGAAACGCGAGTAACAGCTGTCTTCCTTCACGATCAATAGGTAATAAACTTGCTGCAGGAATGCTCGTCTTGACGGATCGTCCAGGCGACAGATCTTCTGTTGTACCAATTCTCGGGACCAGGATATGCGGAATGGTCCGGTCCTCTGACGATACCCGTTGAACATACTGCATAGTCCCCACAGTGGATGTCAAATGGACTGAGCACTCGTTGGTCTTCTATGGTCACGTTGCGCAACAGGAGAGCGATAAAAAGTCAATCTGATCGGCGACAAACGTTGCACTGATTGGCGCATGCGCTTGCTATCTCATGGAATCTCTCAGCATGGTAACAAGTAGAATACAAATTATATGTCGATGATTCCAGTATACCGATTCCCAGGACAACGCAATTCAATCACAAACGTTTGAAAGCTTCGGGGTTTGGAGAAAGAGCTGAGCCTGTGACTTGTAAAAGTATGACTCATGTTCCTGATTTAGGCCAGTTTTCGTTCGAAAACCACATTGATCTTGGATTTAACAGTATGGACGAAAATGCTGTTCCAGAGACAACATGCTATTCTGGTGATGACCTATTACAGTAGTTTGATCCAAATTGCCAAGATAATTTGTCAGAAGAGACTATTCATGAGTTTCATTGTTCTGAAGAAGATACATGTAGTGATGAAAGCAACGGGGAATCTGGAGAATCAGACACTGACAGTGATGTTCAGTATTACACGTCAGATGAAGAACAGGCAAGCTCAGCTGATAATGACAATGTTGATATCAGATTATTTCAGACCATGAGAACGCATGCATGGCAGTTTTAGCGTATGTTTCAAGACATTGTCTTACAACTGAAGCTGCCAAAGACTTGATTGACTTGGTTAAAGTCACTTGTCCTGAAAGTCCTACTTTTAAAACACTTAATTACAGCAAGGTTCAAGAAGTGTGTGGAAATTGCCAATTGCTTGTTTATGATATTTGTGAAAAATGTCACCGGCTGTTCCCTTCTGATGATGAAAACATTTATCATTGTGAGACAAACGTAAGAAAGTTATTTGTCAAAATATATTTCCACATCACCTGCTTGTGAATGTAAATAAATTTACCATGTTATTGTGAATTCTTATCCTGCCTGGCTCTCTAATACATACTAGATTTGCAATGGTTTTGAGTGGTGTATGACTTGATTTTTCTAAGTTTACACACAAGCCTTTAGGCGAGTGTGTACAAAGAAAAATCAACTTATGAGTAGGATATTTGCAGTATACCAAGAGAAAGCATTGCATAACTAATAATGTCATTTTCAAGTATCCACTGTGAGTAACTACCTCTTTTATAATAATTATCGCTCCTGAAAAGTTGAGCACTCTAGAAAAATTGTATTATTTTTTACCAGTTCAGAAATTACCTATAATTATTAAATGTAAACACAGGTTAGATTAACGGGAAGGCAAATGTGTAGATGATGACCTGCATTGTTTTTTTTAAAACAATGTGTCTGAAACTTGTGCATCTACCTTCTTTGCTCAGCTTCCTATCGCTAACAAATTTCGCACATGAGTAATATTTTATTAATTGGCCTTTATAGTCTTAGATACAGAGGAGGTGTTTCCCAGCAAGGTAAAAAGCAACACAAGAACAGCTTTGTCACTGTCAATATCCACAAGCAAGTGAAATATCTTTTGCAGAGTAAGTTGTTTTATGCAAATTTCTGAAAACTGTCTTAATTTTATTTCCAGTCAAACCTCTTTAATACGGACGGCAAAGGGACAGACACAAGTGCCTGCTTTAGAGAGGTAGAGGTAGAGATTGTATGAAATTTGGTCTCATAGTTTTCTTAACTCCTTACTCTTATTCTTCAAAGCATTCGTCCAAGCTTTCCTGTGCTGCTACTACCCAAAAATGATCTGATACGAGCTCCAAGACTTCAACACGTGAAACTGATTATACACAGAGGAACACTCACTTTACTGAGTGCGATACTGGTTTCACTTACAAACGATGGTTTCACTTCCAAGCGAGCCTGATTTTCTTCGTAAAAAGGCAGTGCCTTAGCGAGTGTTTTTTTGAGAAAAAAACGTTTGTTTTGCAAGATAAACATGGAATGTTTTGAATGGTAAGCTTGGGAAACTTGTGGAGACAAGAACTTTCACTTCTCACGCTTAGAAAATTATAAAAGTAAGCGCTGTTTTAAGAGTTTAGTAAGGGCTTCTATTGTGCCTGTCTGGAGTTATTTTGATCACAGAAGACTGCGGCTAGAACGAAATTATCTCCATTTCTTGTTCCATGAAAATGTAGTTTGATCACTGTTTTTTTAATTTTTAAGCTGGGGAAAGTGGCCATTTGAGTGAAAATTACGGTAAACCGGAAAGTAAAATATTTCTCCCATATTTCCTATGTTCTGCCGCTATTTTTAATCTCTTGTTGTGTTATCTGCGCATGCTTGCGGCCGTGTTGGCAGCCATGATTGGTTTTGGCGGGAATGGTCGCATTCGAGACGCGAACACAGACTGACTTTTTACTTGGATGAATTTTTTTTTCTGCAAAAGCAACAAATAAATACACCGAACACTTACCTGTAATAGCTTGACAGTCGTAGGATAGCAAATTTTCTAGGCTGGGTACAGTTACATCACAAAAGCTGCACCGATAGACTGAAGCCGCCACTGGGAATAAGAATGAGTCGGAATGGTCGAATGGAACGGTCATTTTTTGATCAGACCGGTCCGACCAGGAAAAGTGGTCCACCTCAAAAGGTGTTTTTTTGAAACTTTTCCGGTTTGACCGAAACCAATCCATTGACATTTTGGACCGAAATTTCCGGAATTTGTGGTTGAATGGATTGCGCCCGTTTATTTTTGGACGATTTGTACATTTTCAGCAGTTTGGTAAGTAAATTAGAGATTTTTTATTGATCTGTGCGACCAAGGCATTAAAATAAGCGGTTGAAAGTTGTAGGTAATTAAATGAAGACAGTGCATAATATAATTGAGAAATTGAGATAGGCTTATTGATAGAAAAAAACTCCTTAGATCACTTCGTAATTTCACATCGGTGTTTATATTACGTTTTTATTTATCTCCCTTTAAGAAACCATTGGATATAAAACGTGCTATTGGTGTCAATTGTCAGGATTTTTCCTTCTTATGCATGAATTCTTCGCTTGAGGAAGTCATAAAGATTAAAGTAATATTTATTCTAAGACAAGGAATGTTTAGGTCGCAAAATCTCCAAAAATCCGTGATGTTTTTAACCCACATACGAGCTTTCCCGGCCGCCAGCTAAATCCCGCGTCACGCAAAAGCCTGGAATTTCAAGCGTCCTGTATCGCCAAACAAAGAACCCTTTTGAACCGAAAATTAATGAAGGTTTTAAGGTGCTCTAGTATCCCATGATAGTAGAAACTCAGAAGAAGCGTAGTTTCTTAGTTTGAATTTTGGTGACGTCGTGTGAAAACCAAGATTATTCATCAAGGAATTTTTTTTCTGAGGGCTTGGGGGAAAGAGCGTTCTTCTTAGGGTTAGGAGAATTTCAAAGTCAACAGGGAAGTTAAGGTTGGGGTAGGTGTACCATATTTATTCGATTACGCTCTCTGGGCGCTTTTTCCAGGCTGTGTGCTAATAACTGTGCTTCTTGTTTACTGCTGGGCACTTGTTAAATTTTCCTTCCAAGACATTGGGGTCTAATTTGGGGATAGAGCGGTTTTCACTTGACTGTCGTAAAACCAAAACCAAAGTAAATACACTAGCCAACCAAAGGGCGTAGTAAAACCAAAACCAAAACCAATCCCTTTCGACAGTCAAGTGAAAACCGCTCTAGGCACTTAATTGAATAAATACAATAAATTTAAAAGAGTGGCCTTACTAAATACAAATCTATAAGAAGTAATTATGCCAGACACTGTTATGCTGACACTTGACAGATAATACAATATTATCCTTATTTACATGCGGTGACACGTGAGTTGTCCAAGTGACACCCGCCCCTGACATAACAAGTTGAAATTCCAGTTACTTATCCTATTGATTTGAGATTAATTCTAATCTTAACCTGGTACATGTGGGGACATGTGGGTCATCCAAGTGACACCCGCCCCTGAAATAGCAAATAAAAATTCTACCAAGTTGATTAACCTATTGATTTGAGATTAATTCTAATTTAAACCTAGTACTTATAGNAACCCACATACGAGCTTTCCCGGCCGCCAGCTAAATCCCGCGTCACGCAAAAGCCTGGAATTTCAAGCGTCCTGTATCGCCAAACAAAGAACCCTTTTGAACCGAAAATTAATGAAGGTTTTAAGGTGCTCTAGTATCCCATGATAGTAGAAACTCAGAAGAAGCGTAGTTTCTTAGTTTGAATTTTGGTGACGTCGTGTGAAAACCAAGATTATTCATCAAGGAATTTTTTTCTGAGGGCTTGGGGGAAAGAGCGTTCTTCTTAGGGTTAGGAGAATTTCAAAGTCAACAGGGAAGTTAAGGTTGGGGTAGGTGTACCATATTTATTCGATTACGCTCCCTGGGCACTTTTTCCAGGCTGTGTGCTAATTACTGTGCTTCTTGTTTACTGCTGGGCACTTGTTAAATTTTCCTTCCAAGACATTGGGCTCTAATTTGGGGATAGAGCGGTTTTCACTTGACTGTCGTAAAACCAAAACCAAAGTAAATACACTAGCCAATCAAAGGGCGTAGTAAAACCAAAACCAAAACCAAAACCAATCCCTTTCGACAGTCAAGTGAAAACCGCTCTAGGCACTTAATCAAATAAATACAATAAATTTAAAAGAGTGGCCTTACTAAATACAAAT